CCACCACTTTTCCGGAATTTTCAGCCAGCTGTTGCAAATCCAAACTCCCTTATTACTGACAGTTCTCCAAAGTCCACAGTTAACTCTACTCTTCAAGCACCCAGAAGAAAGTTTGTAGATGAAGGAAAGTTACGTAAGGTAGTATTCACATATCTGTACTGGTCTACTTGACATCATCAAATCATAACTTTGAATTTATTGGTCTTGACTTTCTCTGTAATAGTCTGATTCTTACTCGGGATGAAATTTTCTATACCAACTTTCTCATCGTGAGTGCATGTCTCTTTTGTTTGCAGATTTCTGGCAGGCTATTTTCTGATTCTGGTCCACGACGGAGCTCAAGACTGTCCGCTGATTCAGGGGCAAACACTAATTCAAGTGTTGCAACAGTAAGCGGAAATGTGAACAACGCTTCCAAGTATTTGGGAGGTTCTAAATTGAGTTCTTTGGCACTTCGTTCTGTAACACTTCGGAAGGGACACTCCTGGGCAAATGAAAACATGGATGAAGGTTGTGACATTCCATGCACTATATCACTATTTTGTTTGAAATCTGGCCTTGTGTGATTATTGTTATCATGCCATCTATTTTGGTGTCTGCGTATTTGTAATACCGTCATTCTGATGGGTTTAGGGGTCCGTGGGGAACCTTTTGATGATTCAAGGCCTAATACTGCCTCAACGACTTCCAATGATGCTAAATCCTGTGATCAAGAAGATGAAACAATGTCGATTGGTGGCACAGCGATGAGTGCAAGAATCACAATTGGTGTTTTGGAAATTTTAAACCTCCTTAGGACACTCGGAGAAGGGTGTAGACTTTCGTACATGTACAGGTGTCAGGTAGGCATAGTGTTGTTCTCGTGCATTATGCAAGGTGAGGTGAACTTATATAAGTTTATCTCATTGTTTCCCTCTGCTTCTGGGTGGTTCAGGAGGCACTGGATACGTATATGAAACTTCCACATAAGCATTATAATACAGGATGGGTTCTTTCCCAGGTAATTATTGACTCTTTTTCTCTTTTAGGCTGCCATATATGGATATAGCTTGGACATGTTCTATTTGGAAAACCATTTTAGGAGCTATCTTATTCAGTTTTTTGTTTTTGTTTTGTATATACACTTTCCCCCTTTTTATAACGACTACTTGAACGGAAGTTTCCGAAGAGAACCCCTGAATGAGTTTTAGTCTAGTGGCCTGTGATAGTTATTGTTGAAAGGCTTGTATACATATATTATGGCTATTAAATGCAGGTCGGGAAGGCATACTTTGAATTAATTGACTATCTAGAAGCTGAAAAAGCATTCCGTCTTGCCCGCCAGGCTTCTCCTTATTGCTTAGAAGGAATGGATATATACTCTACGGTCCTCTACGTAAGTGTATTTTCCTGGTTTCCTAACATACAATCTCATCTGAGTCTCTGATGAAACTCAAAATTTGACATTTTGCTTTAGGCTCAGAGAAGATTGGAAAATTTCTGGAAAGAAATATCATGTATTGTAATTTTTTTTGCAGCATTTGAAGGAAGATATGAAGCTGAGTTACTTGGCTCAGGAACTAATATCAACCGATCGCTTAGCCCCTCAATCTTGGTAACTTTTGTTTATAAGTTATTTTTTTGATTATTGTTTTCATTTATTGTTGGTAATAGGAGAAATAAGAGAAAAAAATCAATTATGTAGGTGTGCTATGGGAAATTGCTATAGCTTGCAAAAGGACCATGAGACTGCACTGAAGAATTTCCTACGAGCTGTTCAACTGAATCCAAGATTTGCATATGCACATACCCTATGTGGCCACGAGTAAGAAAGCTTCTATCCATTTGACTTTGTCTTGTACAATGTGCTTTAAATCCTCTGGTTGCTGGTCTAAGTGACACTCTCTATCTTTACTGTCTCTGTAGATACACAACTCTTGAAGATTTTGAGAACGGAATGAAAAGTTACCAAAACGCACTTCGTGTAGATACAAGACACTACAACGCATGGTACGGGCTTGGAATGATATATCTACGCCAAGAGAAGTTAGAGTTCTCAGAGCATCACTTCAGAATGGCTTTCCTAATTAACCCGAGTTCGTCTGTTATAATGTCTTATTTAGGGACATCTTTGCATGCCTTAAAGGTTATTTTATTACTTTCATTTTATTATGTCTACAAGTAAAACAATCTTTAAAGAATGACTAAATGCTTCTTCTTGTTCTCTGTTAACAGAAAAGTGAGGAAGCACTAGAGATAATGGAGCAAGCTATAGTAGCAGACAGAAAAAACCCTCTTCCAATGTACCAGAAAGCTAACATACTTGTCTGCTTAGAAAGATTAGATGAAGCTCTAGAAGTTCTTGAGGAGCTCAAAGAGTATGCGCCTTCAGAGAGCAGTGTTTACGCTTTAATGGGGAGGATCTATAAGCGGCAAAACATGCACGATAAGGCCATGCTTCACTTCGGTCTAGCTTTGGATATGAAACCGCCTGCAACTGACGTTGCTGCAATAAAGGTTTGAGTCTTTTAGAACTACAACAAACAGAGTATTTTGAGAGTCTAGTGAAAGCATTCATCGGGTAAACTGGTTATTCTTATTGTCTGAAACAGGCTGCAATGGAGAAATTGCATGTTCCAGATGAGATCGACGTGAGCCCATGAAACCATTGATGCTCCAAGAACCTTGGTATGAATTAATATGAAACCGTTGCTGCTCCACGAACCACGGGTATGAAATATTTGTGCAAAGCCTACCTCTTTTAGGGAACTAGTTGGGTCTTAAATCTTACGAGGATTTTGTAGCTTTGGTACCAAAACCGTAACACAGCCACACGAACTTACCACATGACTTGAGTATGTATCATGAGTTGATCTGTATGTTGTCCATAACTACTTATTCGCAATATATAAATTTTCCACATGAGTATGTATTTTTCGAACTTGGTTTTTACATATTCTTGCTTTAGTAAGATTTTCAGTTTAAAGTTTCCAAAATTTTGTGCGAACATAAAATTTTTTTATTTTTTCTGGACTTTTGATATCAAATACCATTATTAATTTGATAGCTAATAATATCAATTAGAAATTTAATACATATATATATTTAGTTGAGGCATGTCCTCAATTCCTTGTTGGCTAAGTGATTTTAGAGGAAAAAATATTTATGAAAGTTGTAACTCTCATCACTTCTGTTTTTCTAGGAAGATTATAATGCATGATATCTCTATTGAATAGAGAAAATAAATGATATTAACATTTTTAACAGAAAAAAATAGAAAATATTAATGTTTGCCAATAATAGTATATAGTAAAAGTAAAGATAAATATATAAATTTATATAAAACATGGATATGTTATCATAATTGGAAGGAAAACAGAAGTAAAGGGGAAATCTATTGTAAATTAAAGCAATTGATTGTGTTTGTTTTATATTATAAAAGGTGGTCATGAGTCAAAACGGTGGAAAACTTGATATGAAAGCAAAGGATAGAGAAGAAATAGTGATGACAACCCGTAAAAGTAGCTTAGAGTCGATTCCTCTTGATCTAACAATCGAGACACTCCAAAGACTGCCAGCAAAAGCCCTTCTCAAGTTCATATGTATATCGAAAACATGGTATTCCGTAATCCGTAGCCAACCATTCATAGATACTTTCATGTCAATGTCTATGTCTCGACCATGTCTCCTTTTCGCGTTCAAAATCAATCATGGCGAAAATAACCAATTGCTCTTCTTCTCCTCGCCTCATCTTTCCCACGAATCAAACATAACAACATCATCAATAGTGGCCAAGCATGAGATGAAGATATCAAAAACATATCCAGTTGGTGATTACATCATCCATAGTGATTTCTATTCGCGGCTTCATATGTTGTTCTCATCAGTGTCAATTCATGGTATGTAATCCAACTACAAGACAAGTCATAAATTTACCGGAAGATCACCTTTTTGATCCTGATAACATGAAATGTTATATGCATTTGGGATACGACCCAAGCAATGATGAATACAAGGTATTGCGCATGATCACTAGGCCATGGAGTAATTTTGTTTCTGAACATAGTGTGTATACATTGGGGTGTAGACAATCTTCTTCTTTTCCGTGGAGGCGCGTCAAAAGTGGTATCTCTAAATATATTCCTAGTACTAGTGGTGTATACATTAATGGAGTTGTGTATTATGAAGCTAGGATAAAGCCGTGGATTAACTCTATGATAGTGGCTAGTTTTGATCTTTGTTCTGAGCGTTTAGGTCACATTAAAACACCTCGAGAAACGTTAAGTTACCTAGTAAAGTACCAAGGGAAATTAGCAGGCCTTAGTTTCTTAGGTAATAATTTTAGTTTGTGGGTTCTCGATGATGCGAAGAAGCAAATTTGGTCGAAGACTTTTGCTTTTTCGCATGCGTTTTGGGGTCTACGACTAACTTTTTCGGGAACCACTGATGATGGGGAACTCGTTTTTGCCCCAAATTCGTTTTCTGATGATTTTAACGTTTACTATTGTGATATCCATAGAAAGAAAATGAGAAGAGCTAAGCTTGAAGGAGCTAGTCACAAACCATGATGAGTTTAGATGTCGCAATAAACATTTTTGTTATCTCTCTATGGCATGTGGCCATGTGGATAATATTACGAGTATTAAATTATATTAAAGGATCGTTATATTTTCAGATTTTTTTTTTCATTTGTTTCATCAAGATCATTCAAGAGTGTGAAGACAATGCTCGAGCTCTTGTAAAGTTGTATAAACCTCACGGAGATCTTGTTCACCAAGACAATTTGTTTCTTCAGTTCATATATTTTTAACCTTGATTCAAACCTAAATCTTCTTCGTTTTTTCAAACCTAAATCTTTTTTTTTTTCCAAGAAATCTCTAATATAACATTGATCAAATGAGATATAAATATAATTAAAAGATACGACTTCGAATAAAAGATATAAATATAAATATAAGATATGATTAATTAACTTGTACAAAAAGTCTTTTTTGTGATTCATCTTTGTTTTGAAAAAAGACTGAAGCAGGGACACGCATTATAATAAAGTAATCAGCGGATATTTTACCATCCAAAGTAAAACGTCAACAATCACTCTCCGAAAATGAAGCTGAGAACAAATCACGGGTGTTGAATATAATTCTCGTGAATTATAATATCTTGATGATTATAGATTTTACGTAACTTACGAGATTTGCAATTGCACCAAAAAAAAAAACAAAAAAAAGAAAGAAAGAAAAAGGTAACTTACTAGACTTAGTGATACGTATAATTCTATAATTATGATTATTTTTCTTCCGAACAATCAAAACTCGACTTTCGGTGGGATTAACGAACGTCATTGATTCTGACTTTTGTGTTTATTTGCCTCAATTTAAAGGGTTTGAAAAGTAACGGCGACTTCGAGTAAACATTTACAACAAATCGTATGATTGCCTTATATATACTTTTATAACTTTCCTTCGTTCTATATTATATGTTTATAACTGCTTATCATGTTATAACCGGATTTCATAAAATTGGGGCTAATACACAAGATCGCGGTACTTTTGTTTACAGTTAAGAGAGTACATACAAAAGTGCCCTCTAATCCATGTTAATATGAATTTGTATATGCTAAGATAAACTATAAGTAAATCTAGTTTGAGTCTTTGGGATCATATATTAATTTATCTGCTCTTGAAATGACTTTTTTCTTGTACATGGAAGAACATTTGACTTTTGTAAAAGATAATATCAAAATCAATTCAAAAACCGTAACATTTTGGAAATGCATTCAAACCATTTCATTTTGCAAATTTGGAAATGCATTATGGGCGCATTTAAACTCTTATTTTACTTTGCAATTATATTTCTGACTTAGGATAACGTAGATAATGAAATATGTCTTTTGTCAATCTAAAATGTGAAAAAGATGAAATTTTGGAAAGTTGATGCTAAAATTGTAATTGGTTGTCCTGGATTTACACTATGTTAAAGATTTTTTCAACAATTCAAAACTTAAAAGAATAATAACGTTCCCAACTCCTAGCCCACCAAAGAAACTTCTATAAATACGTTAGCCAAGAAAATGCTTTCTTTTACGACACAATAAGTTCCAAAACAATTAACCACACAAATACAAAATGAATAAAATGTCCTTCTTTGGTTATAGTTTCATCGTAGTCGCATTATTCTCCGATTTAACTCAAGCCTATCGTCACACTCCCGCTCAACCGCCAAAAGCAAACGCAAATGGTGATGTCAAGCCGCAAGAAACGCTCGCGGTTCACAACAAGGCCCGAGCCATGGTCGGAGTCGGACCAATGGTGTGGAACGAAACTCTTGCGACTTATGCACAAAACTATGCACACGAAAGAGCCAGAGACTGTGCCATGAAGCATTCCTCGGGACCATTCGGCGAAAATCTAGCCGCGGGTTGGGGAACAATGAGCGGTCCGGTTGCGACTGAGTATTGGATGACGGAGAAGGAAAATTACGATTATGACAGTAACACGTGTGGCGGTGGTGATGGTGTGTGTGGACACTACACTCAGATCGTGTGGCGTGACTCGGTTCGAGTCGGTTGTGGCTCGGTGAGGTGTAAGAATGATGAGTATATTTGGGTGATTTGTAGCTATGATCCTCCGGGGAATTACATAGGTCAACGTCCGTATTAATGATTAAATCATTTTATACCAAATTAAAAAAAATTACTACGGTACGTCATGTGATTTCAAGTAAAAATAATACTATAATGTTTTCTGTTCTTAACAACATTTTACTTTACCAAAAATTACGATTTAGATTCTAAATTATCCGACTATACGTAAATGAGAAAAGCATACATAAATACACACTAAATTTATAGTTGTTTAATTACCATCAAATGTGAGAAATGCATCCATGATATATTGACGTTGTGGATTTTATTATAATCGATTTATATCGACATTTAAGATTATAAGAAGAGGAAACCCTAGAACAAAATAGAACATTTTCATAATATATATATATGAAATACCTTAATGCAGTGTATATCAATTTAAATTCAATTAATATACAAAAGTTGATTTTTATTAACATAATAGAAAAAGTACCGTGTAAAGACAGATCCAAAAGTTGAATCTTGGTATGGTGGGATTTAAAGGACCCTCCTAAAGAGCTATATTGGACTTCTAAACGATACCACCACCTTCCCTCAAGCTTGTTTTTGTTCAATTAATCAACTCTAAGAGAATATTTTCTTCTTGTGGGTGAAATATCGTTACCCTACATCTATCTACCTCAACCATGAATAATCAATCTCACCAACATTGAGTTTCTACTTATGAATCGAGCTATAGTTCACGTGAGTAGTATGTCTCTCTTTACTGAGTTGATTAAACCGATCAAAACCATTGTTAAATTAGAGGTCGTTATCAATTTCGGTTAAGATTGTTCTTTAATTTTAAAAAGCATAGTACGTTTTCTTCACGGGTGTGCTAAAAATTTTCAATTTGTTAGAGAGAGAGAAAGCTTGTAACATGTTAAAATTGTCATCATCATTATAGAATTTAAATTAGTGCCTCACCTCACTCACTCTACATTACAAAATATTATATCTCACAATCTTAAGGAATGGTTTACGTAGAACAATTATATATCACGGATTCACGGGTGTTGAATAAACTCACGAGAGTTATATAACATCACGTGGAGTACACAGTTTAGAGATATAATTATGCGATCGAACGACGTAACTAACAAGACCAATCAAAATTCGACGATTGGTCGGATTAACGAGCGTTTTTCACGTCGACTTTCGTTGTTAATTACATAAATGAAACTAATGAATTTGGAAGGAAAACCATAAATCATTAATCAATAAATTTTTGTAGATTCTCTTGACTTTTTTTCGTGCCTTTTGTAGATTCTCTTGACTTTTTTTCGTACCTTCTATCGAGTTGGAAATCACTAAGGAATATGTTGCAATATAGTACGTTTCTCAAACATAATTGGGAAAGTAGTACATGTACTATTCACAATTGGCAAACTCTCCACGTTTCACTGTGCTCTACTGTTTTGGAGACATTGTAACCCTCCTATATTTCTTATATTTACGACAATGCCATAGACATAAAGTTTGAGACTTTCTTCAGATTCGCTTCTCTTTCTTTCCTCAAATCGATTTAGATTATTTCTCCCAATTTGCAACTATTGGTTTTGCAGTTACTCCAATCGCGAAACCCTAATTTCATAATTATGAGATTTTGAATCTCACTTTGTTTTTCCTCTGTAATTTCGCGAAATGGCAACGCCATTACAAAGTTTGAGACTTTTTCTTATCTCTTTCGTCTTCTTCTTCGTCGACTCACAATCACAAGATTCTTCCATTACTCCTCCTCCACCGCAACCTCCGTTAAAGGTCGTTGAGAGTAATAAGGCGATTCACCACCGAAGAAAAAAATGGCGACAGAGAAGACACCATAAACACCCACCACCGCCTCCTCGGAAGAAACAGAAGGTGAACACGGGAAAGACGGTGGGGCTTTTCTTCGCCGGTGTAGCTGCAGCTTTGCAAGTAGTTGTAGCTGCTTTCTTGCTTTTCAAAAGAAGACAACTTCTCCTTAAGATCAATGATAGACACTGAGTGAGAGATTCAGGATCTTGTCACAGAAATCGACTTTGTTGAAAAGAGCTTGAAGTTGGAGTTAAGTCAATCTCAATTTTGGTCCTCTTAAATCTGTAAATTTATTATAGTCTTTGACTGCAACTCAAAATTTGTTCTTTAGATATGAGTGAATCCAGTGGAAAAACTGAATTTTGGGGATGATTGTTGATGGAAAGTTCTCAAATTTGATGATACATTGTTGAAGAATCAAGAACTATCATTGTGTTGTTAAATACCAGATATAGATCTAAGTTAGCATACACATGAAGTCTCCTTTTTGTATGGTCCTTTGAGAGTTAATGTCATTCATATCATGTAGAATTATTGCAGAGGACCGATCTAAACCTATGGAGTTGGGACCACTGGAAACCCATGTGAGAGTCTGGTCCTAAAAGTTAGCATATTGTTTAGAATTTTTTCTAAATTGGAAGGTTCACAGAGGTCAATGAAAAGAGTAGCATTTCATAATAATATTTAGAGGTGACAATCTCTAGTTTTATTTATGAACAGAAAAGAGATTGTGAGTTTGTAGGATATTATTAATAGGTTTGAGCAATAAGCATGAGATCGCCTCACGCTCAATTCTTCTTTTATCCTTTGTAGCCCTTCTTCTTCCCAGAGGAACTGCCCTTCACCCTTGAGTCGGATTTTACCAAACCTTTTGCACGTGCAGCAGCAGCTTTGTGAGTCACTGCAGCTTCAGCATTGCCGTTAGCTTTAGAACGACTTGCAGAAGAAACTCTTGCCTTGTGACCCTTGGCATAGACTACTCCGTTGGTACCTGTGTAGCCATTTTTGTATGCATTGCTCCCTGGACCTTTGGGATTTTTAAAAGCATTAGCAAAGCTATAGACATCACTGGTGCTGTAAGTAGCGCCATAAGCAGAAAGCTGAGCTCCAACGCCTTTGGTAGTAGTTTTTGGAAGAGAGGTGCCTAATTTGGTCTCTTTGGACACTTCTTCGACGTGCCTTGCGGTGACAATGGCACAACAAACGCCAATCACGAGAAGCACAACACACTTTGTGGCATTCATCTTTTGTTTTTTCTTTTCTTTTGGAATTAAATTGTGTGTTTGTGGTGAGTTGTGTTGTGTTCTTCTTCCCAGATGATAGCCATCTATATATACACACACAATGGATACATGAGCATTCTTTATCAAAAAAAAAAGATATGTGAGCATTTCTTACAAGAAATATACATTTTTAAATGCATTAGTCAAATTTCAACTAATAGTCATACCAAGATGTCAATCTGTACCGTATATTTGGCGGACGGATAGTCGATCTGTACGATATATTTGGCGGACGGATAGTCGATCTGTACGGTATATTTGGCGGACGGATACTCGATCTGTACAATATATTTAGCGGACAGATAGTCGATCTGTACGGTATATTTGGCGGACGGATAGTCGATCTGTACGGTATATTTGGCGGACATATAGTCGATCTGTACAGTATATTTAGCGGACGGATAGTCGATTTGTACGGTATATATGGCGGACGGATAGTCGATCTGTACGGTATATTTGGTGGACGGATAGTCGATCTGTAAGAGGTCGTCCTCATTCTTCTAGTGATAATCAATGTCAATGTGAATCTCTGGTGGAACAAGCGCTCGTGTATCCACAAAGTAAAGTCTTTGTGTCACGCAGGATCAGTATCTGTCAACCGTTGATCGTTAGTTGTTGGTACATCGGTAGGAGGTCGGATAGTCGATCTGTACGGTATATTTGGCGGACGGATAGTCGATTTGTACCGTATATTTGGCGGACGGATAGTCGATCTGTACGATATATTTGGCAGACGGATAGTCGATCTGTACGGTATATTTGGCGGATAGGTAGTTGATCTGTACGATATATTTGGCGGACGGATACTCGATCTGTACAGTATATTTAGCGGACAGATAGTCGATATGTACGGTATATTTGGCGGACGGATAGTCGATCTGTACGGTATATTTGGCGGACAGATAGTCGATCTGTACAGTATATTTAGCGGACGGATAGTCGATCTGTACGGTATATATGGCGGACGTATAGTCGATCTGTACGGTATATTTGGTGGACGGATAGTCGATCTGTAAGAGGTCGTCCTCATTCTTCTAGTGATCATCAATGTCAATGTGAATCTCTGGTGGAACAAGCGCTCGTGTATCCACAAAGTGAAGTCTTTTTGTCACGCAGGATCAGTATCTGTCAACCGTTGATCGTTAGTTGTTGGTACATCGGTAGGAGGTCGGATAGTCGATCTATACTGTATATTTGGCAGACGGATAGTCGATCTGTACAGTATATTTAGCAGACGGATAGTCGATCTGTACGGTATATTTGGCAGACGGATAGTCGATCTGTACGGTACATTTGGCGGACCGATAGTTGATCTGTACGGTACATTTGGCGGATGGATAGTTTGATTTGTACGATGTATTTGATGGTACGATGTATTTGATGGAGGGATACTTTAATTTGTACAATATAGTTAAGGAGCATATGGGGAGTGCTTGGCTGTAGACTGTAAGAGCTCGTCCTCATTCTTCTGTTGATCATCAATGTCAATGTGAATCTCTGGTGGAGCAAGCGCTCGTGTCTCCACAAAGTGAAGTCTTTTTATCCCCAATCAATTTTCTAGCAAGGTACAAGAAGAGCGTCTCCAAGTAGTAGTTGCTCTTTGTTGATATCTAGTAGTACTTTAGATTATTCCTGTGAAATCAACCATTGTCATTTAAGTCATACTCCCATTGTCTAGGTAACAAATAATCCGCAGCAAAACATGGCAAGTTAAATTGATAATGAATTTCTTACCCTAACCAGAGTTTATTCCAAGATCCAAATTGTCTAACTCTAACTTAACTCTACACATATCGACCTGACATTAAGTGAATTTAAGAGATTTATTTCAACACCATACAAACCAAATCTTAGGAAAAGAGAAAGAAAAGGTTCTTCTTACTATTATCTAGCCATTAATCCACCAAAGTATATTGCGTAACTAAATCAAGAAGGAGAGACACACTAAACCGAGAAGCAATTATCCAGGGACGAAGGAGAGTACTGATCAGCTTGGCCTTTGTGTCGTTTGAGATTGAGCGACGGCGTCACGGTTCTAAGAAAACTCTCAATTGCTTTTAATGTTGTTACAAGAAACAAATAGTCAAAAACAAAAATCTCTTAATTGCTTTTAATGTTGTTCTTCTTCTTCGTTGACGCCTACCTAAGCTTAAAAGATCAAAAACAAAAGATCCATTTTTACCAAATGTGTGCAGTAATTAAAGACACAAACACAAAACCACGTGATCAATAATCACTAAAGAGAAAATCAATTATTCACCTTTGCTTCCTTCTTCTTCATCGTTCTCCTCTTTACCATCTTCAGCAATTTCAAGTTTTTTCGAAAGTTTCTCCTTTCCACTTGATGATTTCAGCGCTGCCATTCTCCACCACGGAACCTACAACAACATCTTTAATCGATTCTCAATTTAATAACAAATACTAACCAAAACTCCAACAAATAAACCTTAATTGATGAGAATCGCAGAAATAGCTACACACCAAAGAAGAAGTAAACGGTAACCTTTTGATAGAGAGCACATTGAAATCAAAAGAATCCCGAGTAAAGAACAACAACTAACTCAAAAGATAAAAAAAACTCTAATTTCACTTATTATATCAAGTAAAAGCAACGACCAATCCTAAATGTTCCAAACAAAAAATCATCTGATTAATTATAGATATCGATCTATTTGTAATTATTGAAGGGTCATGCTTGTAGAATATTGACTTGATTTCTAATTTCACAAATGAATTCCCAAACCCAACGAACCTGGAATTGAAATCCACAAATCAACCAATTTTAATTTGTTATAGGGATTTCCTAAAATTGTCTATGTTTCTCGTAATGGCTTTGTGTTTAATTGGTCGTAATCGAGTTGTGTAAGTGAGGGTACGCGAGATTTAAGCTATGACATTGGAGAAGATAGATGAGAGTTGCAGAGATAAGCCATCGTTCGCCCTAAAATTCTCTCCCAGGCACGAGAACCAAGGAGCCGCTCCTCTTGACGAAATGAGCTTCTTCTTCCGGCGTTGCTCCTCCGACAACGTCCTCTCCTGATCGGTGCTTGCTGCTAAGGGGAGATCTCTCAGGTGGACCTCTTTGTCCGGTGACGGACCTGTTTTTCCGGCGAGTTTTTTTTCACCTAAGATGACGTTCTCTCCTCTGTCGACTTCGAGCCGCTCTAGTTGCTTACCGATGTCTTCGGTTGCTTTCCTCAATCTGAGGCCCACTCGTGCACCACCGCCGCAGCCTCCGTCTCCGCCGACTCCACCAGACCCGCAGATCTGCCTCTCCTTTGGTGAATCTCTTTCTCAACCGCCGAGCTTCACTTCCTTCAGCGCGTTTGACTCACTCCTCCAACTCTCCTCCGCCAGAACTAGCTTTCCAACGACGGCGAGTGTTTCTCACCTGCCAACAAAGGTGCCCCTCACCGTTGGTTGGCAGCCTCCCGACGAGTCTCCTTTTGCAATCTGTTTTGGAGATCTTGATGCTCGTCACTGCCCAACCTCTTCAACCATAGCCTACTTCAGTGATGGTTGTCATCTCGTCGACGCCCACACCTTCCCTCCTCAGACATTCCCCCAAGTATGCTCTAGCTCTAGCTCTAGCTCTTCACCCTCTAATTCTTTTAGGATGGAAAGAATTATTTGGATGTTCGTTGAGTTTTTGGCTTTGGTTTTGTGGAACTCTGATCTAGCTTATTCAGTTTTGATGGGCTTGGATACTCTTGTGTCTACTTTTGTGCTCTCTTGTAGCACTCTTATCGCTTTGATGCGATCACTTACTGCAGTATGCAGAGTTTATCTCGATTTTGCTTTGTTACAAGTTGTTTCGTGGCAGCTTGGACAAAGATGTTTGAGTATTGACAACAACCGACCAGTTCACCTGGGTCATTGGGGCTTTCACAGCCCTCATCTCTCCTCTAAGGAGCTTATTATCCTCCCAAATACTTCACTTGTGTTTAGTGGTATTGTTGCAGGGAGCATTGTGTTGAAGACTGTTCTACTTGATGTAGAAGCGAGGATCATTGTTCAAGATTGTTCTCGTTCAGCTTTTGCTGACTGTTTGGCGTCAGGACCTATGGAGGCTTTGTTTTCTCCTCCTTGTGGTTTCAACAAGGTCTTCCAATCTAAAGATGTTTGCTTTGTTGGATGCTCTTGGTTGGATGCCTCTTTGGTAGAACTTTTTAGTTCACCTTTATCCCAAAGTCTCATTTTGAGCTTTGTTGTTGCTGTTAGCTTTTACTCTTTCTCGACCTCTATGTATGCCGTTGTCTCGGTTTATCCGGCTCTTTGTAGCCTTGTATCCTCTCTTAGTAGAGGTTAAACTCATTTCTATTATATGATATGTTTAGTTTGTCCAAAAAAAAAGATGAGAGTTGCAGAGATGGAGAAAAGTTGTAAAAATTGAGAGAGAGAGAGAGAGAGAGAGAGAGAGAGAGAGAGAGAGAGAGAGAGAGAGAGAGAGAGAGAGAGAGAGCAATGAGAGCGGGGAGAGAGATGGAGCAGAGTTGCAGAGCTTTGATGGAGAGAGAAACCGAGAGATGAAACGAATAAACACAAAAACCCTTTTTGGTCTTTTCCAAAACCCACTAATATTTCTATCTCACAATTCTGTATCTCACAAAGACGTCTCACCGACTATTCTCCTAATTGTGAATAGTAACTATACCATTTCTACAATTATGTTTCAGAAACGAATTAGTTTCCAAACAAACCCTTAATTTAACTCTTGACTTTTCTGATTATTCTTATCAAATTTTTAAATTTAGGATAACTTAATTATCACTTAATGATAAATATATTTTGTTACTCTAAAATTAGAATCTCATCTTAAAGTTTATGTTATTTTAAGAAATTTCTAAACGTAAGTGATAGGTTTTACGTACTATTTGATAATTGAACAGAAAGAAAAAACAATTCTTCTTCTTTTTTTGGTTTAATGGTGAATATTGAAAACTTAATAATAGTCACGGAGATCTTGTTTTGTTTGAGAGGCTTACAAAAAGAGATGAAAAACCACCAGAAAAGGAATCTGATAAGTCTTCACGAAAACATAATTAGTTCCAAAACAATTCTACAACAAAAACAAAAGAGAGAAAAATGTCTTTTTCTGGTTATAGCTTCGTGGTAATAACATTATCCTCCATCGTCTTAACTCAAATCTATGGTTTGAGAAACTTTAACCGAATGGACGATCTCCAACCGGAAGAAACACTAGCGATTCACAACCAGATTCGAGCCGCGGTCGGGGTTGCTCCATTGGTGTGGGACGAAAAACTTGCTGCCCATGCACAGAGGTACGCTAACGTACGATCCCAAGACTGTGCCATGAAACATTCCACTGATGGAATGTACGGCGAGAATATAGCCGCTGGGTGGGTCCAACCTATGGACACCATGAGCGGTCCGATCGCGACAAAGTTTTGGTTGACGGAGAAGCCTTATTACAATTATGCCACCAACAGATGTAGTGAACCGTGTGGGCATTACACTCAGATTGTGGCTAATCAATCGACACACCTTGGTTGTGGTACGGTTAGGTGTTTTAAGAATGAGTATGTTTGGGTTGTATGTAACTATGCTCCTAGGCCCATGGGTGATGCCAATACTCGTCCGTACTGATCAATACCGTATAATGTGACTATTATAGAAAAATTAAGATAATGCGTTATTATAGGCACGATTATATGCGACGTGGTTTGCAATTTAGTAGTTTGTATTAGTATTGTTGATGTCTCACTATCTAGATTCAAGTATAAATAAATGCGTGTTTTGAGATAAAAATAATAATAACATGTAATTCGGATTTTTTTTGGAATATAAAATTCATAGAGCAACCAAATAGAAAACTTTACAAGCGGCAAGAATATATTTGTTGTATTTATTAATCTTTTATAATATATACTAGTTGGCTACTTAAAGGAAAACCACCTTTAAAATCACTAGACCTTGCATTTGATGACCATGTGTTTCATGGCTTTGTAAGCATGTTTGCATTTAGCGTGTTGTTTTGTCAGCTGTTCCATACTTGGGCTCATGGAACCAAGAGCAAACTTCCATCTCTTGTGGTGGGGTTGCAAGACATTGGGCTGCTTGTTTCACGTGTACATCATGTGAATCATCACCGAGCACCGTATAATAACAATTACTGCGTAGTGAGTGGGGTTTGGAACAAGGTTTTGGATGAAAGCAAGGTCTTTGAGGCAATGGAGATGGTGTTATATTTCAAGATGGGGGTGAGACCGAGGTCATGGACCGAGTCAAACTCCGAATGGATGGAAGAAACCGACATATTCAAATGTTAGCGGCACTTTTAGATATATTCTTCGCCATTTTAAGTGGCAAAAACTCGATCTTTACCCGCGATTTCGAGATTAATCTATCTTTTAGTTTAAGACTTATTAATTTGATTTCCAAAAAACCAAATGTTTTCTTTTACTTAAAAACATGTAGATCACAATTTTGATAGATTTGAAAAGTTTAATATATAATTTTTAGGGTAAATGTAGCAACTTCTAAAATGTTTGCAAACATTGGAAAGTGGTATTCAAGTTTTGTAGATAGGATATCTTTCTATGTGGATAATTGAGTCTCATCACTTATCGAGATATCTCTTTACATTACCCTTCTTCTTCTTCGTCTGGTTACTCTGACACTTGGAAGCAAAAGTTTTGTTTGTTTGTTATTTTGTGTAGTTGTGGACCTAAACATTTTTCCAGGATCTTAACGAAAGGTAGAAAAGGTAAAAACAAAACAAGAGAATTAAATAACTAATGATGCTCCATTGCTCTCCTTCAGTGTTAGACTTGAACCATGTTAATCCAAAATTGTTCTCATTGCTTTTCCACCTAACATTTAAATAAACAAGAACATAAAAATAGTTAGCACGCCCACGTTGACATTTCAATTCCATGAACCAACCCATCTCGTTCCCAAAAACGCACATTTATTTCACTTAAAAGTCAAAACCGAATAAGCCGCAAAAGAAGATCATAAAACCCAAAACACTTTTGACCCACACGCTTCAAAAACGTTGACATATAATAATGCCGTCCACACACATATAAATACTTATGTACACACAAAGCCATCAAGATAAGAAGACACTTCGCTTCAAATCATTTGTGTATTGCAGAAACTTCTGATCTTCATGGAAGCTACTTCTCAGCCATGTTTCTCTCAGAACTACCACTCCTCGCTTCATTCGACCCGAAAGCAACCGGCAAAGCCATGGAAAAAACCCGTATCGGGTTTGGCTCAGCGGATGCATCCTAAAGTTTACCGAGTCAAGCCTGTTAACTTTAAGGAGTTGGTTCAGAGGCTAACTGGTGCACATGACCATGAGCAAGAGGTGCATCAAGTTGAAGCTAAGCCAGTCAAGATTTCTGATGACACAACAACAGCTAAGGATAACCCGTTCGCGTTTGATCTTTCACCGTCATCATCTCGGTTTTGGGAAGCTTTCCCTCTTCTCAGTCCTGCAAATCTTTCAAGATGGTAGCGAGAAAAAAAAAGCTTCCTTTAATTGTAATTCTTGCCAGTTTTTCGGCAATTTTTGAAATTGTTCCCACAGATTTATAACATTTTACGATCTTATCTATGAATAAAAAAGTTACCGTTACATTACAAAACTGCCATTTGATATAACCAATGTATTAAAACCGACCTTTTCGAACACCTATTGATCCCAGTAGTTTCTTAGCTGCGACATGTGAAGAAGAAGCTCGTCTCTGCCCAAACCCGATACACTACTCGTCAAAATCCAAGGAGGATGTACTTTGAAGTTCTCTTTAATGATTTGTTGGAAAGCTTTGATGTTCTCATCAGGTCTTTTCCCTTTCGTTGCTTTCATTTTATCGCATTTCGTAAACACAAAAGTCATCTGTACCTGAAATCATCGAAAACGACATTTAACAACTCCTCAAAGCAACATTTCACTGAACAAACAAAAGCCAAATTTACCACTTACATTGTTGCGACCAAGCCAATTAGCACAATCAAGATCAATCTTCTGAGGAGGAACACTTGCATCGATCAGAAGTAGAACACATACAAGAGTGTCTCTATTCAAGAAGTAACCTTTAGTAAACGCAGACCAATCTGTTTTCGCAGCATCTGAAACTTTAGCAAATCTGCAAATACAGTCTCAACATCAAACAAGAACTTTTATCTGAAAGCAAGATATCAAATACATATCCACTATGTACCAGTTCCAAACCGAATTAGCCAGCTCAACCGGTTTGGTTCGGAACCACCTAAACGATATTACCAAAATTTTATTCTAAATTTAAGTAAAATTACTAATATACTATCATAATTCATAAACTGAACCCGAATAACCGAAATTTTACCCAAATTAAACCGAAAGCACCAAACAAGCTATGTAGAACCATGAGAGGAGTAACTATTAATATACCAAATTTAACCAAACATCATTGTTCTGTTTCTTCTTACGGTAAATCGAACCGAAATCATCAAAAACAATAACCAGGCAAATCCAAAATGTACCAGTTCAGAACCGAATAAGCCAACCAAACCGAACCTAAATTTAGCTAATTTGGTTGAAAACCTATTGGCAAGAGGAATGATGAAATTCGGTAACTGGTTCCGTTTGGTTTCGGAACTACCAAACCAAAAAATACCGAACTTTGATCCTAAATTTAACCGTAATTATTGTAACTGTATCCTAAATTTTACCAAAATGAACCAAAATATACCAAATTTAGCCAAAGTTATTTCTGATGAAAAAGTCGAACCGAATTTGGTTTTCGATTCTAATTCGGCATCAATTTTGTACCTACCAAAATTTGTCCCTTACGAACTGAACCAAACCGAACCGAACTTTCATTCCATCTAATTCGGTGAGAATTTTGCATAACATAAACACCAAAATTCCAAAAATTCCGAACGGAACCAAACCGATTAACCTAAATGCCAAATCCTAGTCTCAATATCAAACAAGAAAACTAGATAAAAGAGATCAAAACACATACCCATAACCAGGCAAATCCACAATGTACCAACTCTTATTCACCAAGAAGTGATTTATAAGCTGAGTCTTCCCTGTTTCACCAAAAATTAAAAATCAAAACTTTCAGATTTCCAAAACAAAAAAGTTCAATTTTTTAAGCAAAATTATAAGAAATACAAACCAGGTTTCTTAGAGGTAAGAGCAACTTCCTTCTTACGAACCAAACAGTTGATAAGCGAAGACTTGCCAACATTAGAACGACCCAAAATAGCAATCTCAGGACGATCATCTTTAGTGCAATCTCTAGCTCGAGCACTACTTTTAACAAATTCAACTTCTTTGATTTGAGAATGACCTGCAAAAGGTCCGATTACGATATTGGAGCCCGGAAGAACCATATCATCTGTTAGTTCCTCAATCTCTACACCAGGAGGTATGAATAACACTGACTTAGCGAATTTGGCCGCATCGGAGATCGAACGATTCGTTGTTGGTGTTGGATTGTTCGAAGAGGCTGAGATTTTTGGGGTAGAGATGAAATTAGGGTTACGAAATGATTGGAGGGTGTGGAATTTGTGAGAATTTGGTATTAAAGGAGTGGGATTTATCGTTAAGGATCGATATCGGAGAAGTAGCACCATTTTTTTTGTGTTTTGGGTTTATCGTTAAAGATAGGAATTTAATAACTATAAGAAATTGTTGTATTCTCTCATTAAGTCTATCTCACCAGCGCACTTGAGTTATCATAATAATGAAACAAAGGAAAAACAAAAATCTAAGTTAACATTAAAAGGAATCATGACTAAATTCAATATAATATTTGATTTTGACTTGAATGCAAAATACCCCACATCTTGAAAACTAATAAACTCTGAATCTTAACTTGTTCATAGACAATGTAGTATAGTATAAGTTGTGTGGTAGATGTTGAATATGAGTGAGAGAAGGCTTTTACCTTGTGAGTTCTGTTGTCTTCTTCTTCAAAGTGATTCTTCAGAAGCTCTTGTAATCTGAAAACATCCACCACAGATTTCAGCATTAAAACACAGAACCAATTTTTGAGAAATTTAATAAACCCTAGATATAAAATTCTGAATCTATTAACACATATATAAAAAAAAGAAACTTGACAAAAGTTACCAAAAATAGCAATCTCGATCTAGAAAAATAGGGAGAAAAAGGAACACTTGACCCAAATCCTAGCTTCAAGCTGGTCAAAATTTCAGATAAAGGAACACTTCTTCACCCAAATAAAGATTCAGAAATCGGAGGAGAAGTTTGAGAAACCTATCTATCTATGAAACAGTGGAATCGGAAACTCATAGAAGAACCCAGGATCTCTATCACTTAGTGCGAAAAACACGGAGAGAAAGAGAGAAAACCACAGTACCCTTCTTCTTCTTCGTCTGGTTACTCCATCATCATGCTGCTGCTTCGTCGTTGTCGTCGTCTATCTGTAGAAATTGGCCAATCGCTCTCACAGTGTGAAGGAAGAGGGACCAATGGGCATTGATTTGGTCCCGCAAATCTCGTAGCGAAGCGCCTCTTCTCTGGTCCTGTTCGTTTGCTTATTTGGGATATGCATCCGAATAGTTCATCCAAATAGTCTATTTGACTAATCCATCTGAATGATGTTCGTTTCCATTTTTTGTGGTTCAGCTGGATGATCCATCTAACTACTTTTCTTTAAAATTTTGTTTGTTTGTTCAGCTGAATGATCCATCTAAATGTTTTTGATATGAAAATGACTAAAATGCCTATGTTTTCATCTAATTATATTTAAATTTTAATCTAACCATATTAATTACCGATCAAATATATATTTACAATCAAATAAATTTCAAATTATTATATTTGACATTTAAATTTCTATTTTCATGATTTTTTTTTTTTTTTATATAAGAACCAAAGCATATGCTATGAAATTAAACAACAACCAACATATACCAAACAAACTCCAAATTATCTAAGTTTTCTTTCTCACCACGAAAACCTCACTTACAAGCTGCTTAAGATTCTCTAACTACATTAAAATATTACAAATCCGATTCTAAGTTAAGAAACAATAAAATCATGAACACAAACACAAGTTCGAGAATAATTAAAGCTGGAAATATTTACTCATCCTAATATCTACACAGAGCATAAAAACTACAAGGATCTACCACCAAATAACACTACATATAAAGGAAATTAGAAAATCCAAATAACAAATAGCTAATCAATCTCAGTTGTTCAACCCATTGCAGATAATGCATCCAAAAATTTCTCTGATCACTCATACAAACACCAAGACCAAGCAACTTTTAGCTATAGCCTACCAGCAAGATAAGATCTTTGCAATGAGAATGATACTACAAAACGTATCTGAATCAATCAATTCCAAATGATCAGAAGATTTCAGCTTTAAGATAATGCATCGTTTCAGCTTTCAAACATATAAAATAGAACCATATAAGATAGAAGCTTTCGGCTTTCAACAACAATCAACAATAGATGACAATAAATCCAAGCCAAAAGTAAAGTGCAATAGAAAGCAGAAACGATCAGATTCATCATATCTTCTAAAATTATGACATGATAAACTTCTAAAAGGAGACGATAATTGAATAATATGTCTAGTAGATTCATCATATCTTCCGCTGACATATGAGTTTGATACTAAGCAATAACTAAAATTCTTTAATCAGCTGCATCAAGGAACACAAAAGCTAAGCACCATTTTATAGCTTTGACACTTTGAAATGACAAATAGCAACTAAAGGGACAACAAACACAAACCCTAGCTGAGGTAAAAGTAAGCTCTATATTCAGTATCTTGCAACCTGAATACAATCAACAAACCATAGAAAAATAAGCAAACAGAGTTCAAGCTCCTTAATAAGCAACGACGCCCAAGAGAAGTGCCAAAACAAAAGCCAATAATCAAACCCATGAACTATAAGAATCAAATACACGACTAAGAATCCAATAATCAAACCCATGAACTATAAGAATCCAATAATCAAACCCATGAAAAATTATAGCCGCTCAAATACACACAAATAATTCTATGAAAAACCCATGAAAGATTATAGCCTATAAGCATCATAAACTCAATACAAAACCTATGAATCTTACCTTAAACTAACGGCGAAAGATTCGGCGGAGAGAACGGCGAGAGATCCGGCGGAGAGAAACGGTCGGCGAAGTGGACGGCCGGCGAGAGATCCGGCGGAGAGAGAGAGCTGATTTTGTTTGTAAAGAGAACAAAAACAGAGAATCGTCGACGAACGAAAGAAAGAGAAGAGGATTAGGTTTCAGGAGTGTAATTTTCTAAATTAAGTAGGGGTATTTAGGTCATTTTCTATTTTAGACTGAATCAGCTCCGGTTAACTGCTCCGATCAGACTCCAATCATTTTTTGGATGAGTTTATTAAAAATCATCCAACTAATCCATCTCACTGCTCTGTTAAATTGCTCTAAACGAACATCAATATTCATCTCCATTCAGCTGGATCATCTGAATGGAGAAACGAACAGCACCTAACTCATCTGGTGAAACATCATGATCATTGTTAATAGAAATCCCACCCAGCTATCATAAGTACATGGTTTACGATTTTTTCTTCTTATTATTTACCTTTAACATGTGCCCTTTTCAGAATTTGAGCTAATGAATCTCACAAAACACTTCAAAAATATTTCAACAATCTCTTCCTTAACATTACAAAAATATGAACTACACACTCAAACAAATTCGAGCGAAGAAAAGTTTTTTTACCAAAATTTTTCAGGATTACTATAACTCCATCGCCTTTTACATCGATTTGGTTTCCTCTTCATGACCCTCTGTTCCTCAAAGTAGTTTAATTGGTCTTAAAATAATTGATATGTTAGCGGTAAACAAACTCTGATTTTTCTCTCTGTTCTCTTTTGTTAACTCAGAAGATTGCTTGTTCGTCTAAACTAACGTTGTATGTACGGAACAAAATAACGGATCTTCTATAAGAAATTACAAACTTATAACTATTCAAACTCTAAAAAGTAAAACAAAAGCAAAGTCGAGACACATGAACATGATTGTTAACAAAGGCAAACATAGGCTGAATCGCCCTAACTAATACATAGTTTCACCTACGGAGAAGCATGAGATGATAGATGAGGTTAAGATGATGTAAGAGAAATTAACACAATCGCGACGACAACCACCTACTTGAACGGCTTTCCAAACAGTGGTCTTCCCTTCTCAATTGCCTTCACCACATCAAGACCATGGTCAATTTTCTCGTTCGTTCTTGTTGGCATTGGCATTCGCCATCAAGAACATTTTAGGAACGGTGTGCTTCCTCTCAAAATTCTCATGGTCATAGAGATGAGGTTTCATAAGAACAAAACTCATCAACCAACAAACTTTCTTAAAAGAGAGATTGAATAAATTTCATAGATTTGCCAACTCAGGACAAATGTTATCTATTGATGTTTAACATGTGCAAACATTACAATGAACAATATTCAAGTGCCACTGGAAACTACTCATAAATTGATTAACCATCTTAGAAGGAAAAGTCTCTGCATCCCTCTATATTTCTCAATTTCTCTAAATCCTAAGAACTAATTCCAAGTAAATAGCAAAATGTTTGAAATGAAACTTACTCCGTTATGGTTGACCAGACTCGAATCCCCTTTCGAAGAATATCGAGAATTAAACTGACTTTAGTTTTTTGATTGCCTCGTCGTCAAAACTCGAAATCTGACATTCGACCACTCGTTTGGTGGGTACATTGGTTTGGTGTAGATTGGGCATTCAAGGATCTTGTAAACGCTCGTTGCCGGCTTTGAGACTTGGTTGATGAGAATTGGCGGCTGTGATGTTGAAGATGATGGATCACACTCTGAGGTTCTTTGAGGGATGGATGATAAACTCTGATTTGTTAGCCTCTTCTTCTCACTTCTTAATCTCTCTCCCCGTCCTTAGTGCCTACTTTAAATTTCAATCATCCTCCGTCTCTTCACCGAGGTGTTTCGTAACTGCATCTCACAAGTCATTGACTGCCCGAGCGTCCAATTGCAAGAGAAAATCCTCGAGCCTGTTTCATCTCACGGACCAAGTTACGAACCCATCACCAAAACGCAGCCCTCGTTGATGATTTCGTCGAAATCAACAAACTTCCGAGAGGTCCAAAGGCATTCAGTGTTCTCCATAATCGTCAATTCAATTGCTTATCTAGATGCCGCGTGCTACGTTTAGAAGAAGATGATTGATGGCGTTTGTTGGAGAATCGGTGAATTTTCCGGTGGTTGTTGGAGCTCCTTCCGATGGCAAATCGAGTTGACAACAAACTCTGTCGGCGGTGATCGGCGACGACAATCGTCGTCTCTTCAGGTGTTTCAATAAGAACAGTTTCACCATTATTTTATCGAGTGGGCTTCCACGTTTTCCTCTATTTGTTTATTTTTGTTATTTTCTTTGTTTCTTTAATATTATGAGACTAAAAAAAACAAAAAGAGAGAAAGAGTGACGTGGCTAGATAGAAAATTGTTACTGGTAACAAAGCTGAGGTGTATTATTTAAAATGTTTTGATTGGAGCTCGTTTTTAATGACGTGTCACATCCAGGAAAGCTGAAAAAGTTGATATGTCAGATCATGAGAGAAACATAGTGTTTTTATTGTATTGATAAGTTCCAGCAGCGGCAAAAAAGAAAAAAAAATATTTTTCTAAAATAGTCCACAATAAGTTTAAATTTTATTTAGTCCACAAAATTTAACCTATCAAGATATTTTTGAATTTAACAATAAATAAATAAATGTATTACGTATATTTGTGTTAATGTTACAACTTACAAGATAATCTGGGTAATTCAACTTCTTATTAATTTTAATAACTTTTTTAGTTTAGTAAGAATATTAAAATATTCCGTATACCTTTTCTTCTATCTATGTGAAAAAGTGTTAGTCGATCATCGACTCTGGAGAACAAACGGTAAAAAAATCGCAAGAGGAGCGTGAGAGAAAACATTTAAATTTTGAATCAATGGGCCTCATTGGGCCTAGCTAGAGCTCTGTTAGGCCTAATTTGATCTTTTACATGGAAAAATCAAGACCGTCTGATTAGAGCATCTGACAGATCTCAACGGTCAACATATCCGTTAGCAAAACGCAAATTTGCTCTCGTCTTATTTCTTGAAGAATTCTCTCGATCCATAATCAGAGATCCGTTTCAAATGTTTCTTTCGATTTCTATAGATCGTGAATCTGTTTTTCGGATTAATGAGTTTCTTGTGATGGATCTTATGTTGTATTGATCTAGGGTTTTGATGGTACTTGGAGGAGGCTTGATTCAGCGTAAAACTGCTACCATTTTCTTCTTCTTTCTAGTGGTGATTGATTGGTTAGATTTCTTCCTCATCTTTCGCTATTATGTGTTTTCTTTTAGGGTTTGCTAATACTTCGTATCTAATATCTTGTTTAGGGTTTTATGGAAGCTTGTCTCTGCGTGAAACCCGTCTTCGAGGTATGTAAATCTCTATCTTTCCCGATTTCAACCTTTGTTTTTTGGTTTTGTTTTTCAGTTTTCAAGTATCGAAATCGGTCGAGAACAAACATGTATGATCACTTCTCGTCGATGAGATTATTTTGCAATTGAAATCTGTTTTGGGATCATGATTTTATTTGTTTTCAAACCCTAATAATTGCTATCCGGATTTTGGAATCAAGATTTTTTGTTTTCAAACCCTAATAATTTTTATCCGGATTCTTGATTTTGGGAAATTGGGAACTTTTGGTTTTGTTTTTGATGTTTTCGTTTTTCTTTCAAAACCCAAAAAGATTCATGGGCAGGCACTAACTAATAGTGTTCTGTCAGATTCTATTTGGGGACATTGTCCCGAGCATAATTGTGGATTGAATCAGATGTATTGGCTGGGTAGTGCATGCGTGTTGGGAGATGGAAATGACCAACGGCTTAAACAAGTCTTAAAGACAGAGGACTAAAGAGTTCACAATTTTAATACCATCGGCTTAGAAAGTAATAAGACATAAAGATTTAAAGACATTGGGGTGGATGGTTATAACGACCACCTAGGACCAACGGCTTATTAAGTCTGAAAGACATAGACTAAAGAGTTGCCATCGGCTTAGAAAAGTGATAAGACATAAAGAGTCAAAGACAATGGGGTGGATGGTTATAACGACCACCTCGGACCAACGGCTTAACAAGTCAGAAAGACATAGACTAAAGAGTTGCCATCGGCTTAGAAAAGTGATAAGACATAAAGAGTTAAGACAATGGGGTGGATGGTTAAAACGACCACCTCGGACCAACGGCTTAACAAGTCTGAAAGACATAGACTAAAGAGTTGCCATCGGCTTAGAAAAGTGATAAGACATAAAGAGTCAAAGACAATGGGGTGGATGGTTATAACGACCACCTCGGACCAACGGCTTAACAAGTCAGAAAGACATAGACTAAAGAGTTGCCATCGGCTTAGAAAAGTGATAAGACATAAAGAGTTAAGACAATGGGGGTGGATGGTTATAACGACCACCTAGGATGGAATAGACCATCTGCTGAAAAGGATGAGGGGATATGTTGGATGGTAAAAACGACCAACAGTTTGAAGATACTTGATAAAGACTATAGAGTGTTCAAGACTCGTTGGATACAACTTAAAAGAAGGCTTAAGATAAAGACTTAGCCTAAAACAAATAGGAAAAACAAAGAAATGCTTAAAAGTCTTTGAGTCTTTAGGCAAATACAATCAACATCAAAGAACGAGGTAAGTATAGGGGTATTACTTGTAATGGAGACTAACCAATTTTTATTTCTTCAGGTATGTGCGTCTGACTACGTTCAAATTGATGGACTCTGAGGAGATTTCAAGACTTTTTTGACAGGTATGTACTTTTCTATCTTGTTTGTAATTAGACAGAGACATGAAGTAATGACTAATTATAATTTGTTCAGGTATATGCTTCAAAAAGGTGCTTTCTAATGGTATATCCTTTTTTAGACTTTTCTGTGATAAATTGATATTATTACAAGTGAAAATTTACATATTTAAGTTGAATGATATATTTGCCAGATTCTAGAAACTGAGTGCTAACATATCCATTGATAAATAAGTAGATTTTGCTTTGGTTATTGGTACATTACATTGTGTGTTTCGGTTCTTGTGTGTATCATAGGGTCTCACATTTTATGAAATGGATGCATCATGTAGTAGTTTTCTTGAATATTGAATGTCTTTGTTTTACGTTATGCTCTAAACTCTTGATGATTGATATTTTGGTACTTTGCATTATTAACTGATGAATACTGTGTTAGATTCTGTAAATTCATTGATTAATAATATATCTGTATGAGTGTCTATGCTTTGATCTCTTAGTGTTACAGAGTTGATAGAGTTTGAATCTCTATTGAATCACACTATGTATTTATGATTTTACTTATGGTTATTAGAACAGTATATTATGTGTAAAATACTAATTATCTCTGTTTGGTGCTACTCTGTAACTTGTTTCTAATTTTATAAAATATCTTGTATTAACATTATATCTTGTATAGTCTCTTATAGATAATTATTGTAACGTAGATGAGACTTGTAGTAGATTATGTGTAAACTACTAGTTATCTCTGTTTTGGTGCACTTAAGGTTTCTAATTTATGAAATGGATGCATCTTGTAGTCTCTTGTATATATTTATTTGAACGTAGATGAGACTCATGCAGATGATGATATAGTATTTTTCTTGAATCTTGAATGTCTCTGTTTTACGTTATGCTCTAAACTCTTAGTGATTGGTATTCTGCATAATTAATTCTGGATACTGTGTTAGATTCTATAAATTGTACATGCTAGCTTGAGTCTTTACTATACAGTGATTGAAAATATCTCTGTTATGATATTAGTGGCTGCTCTTAGTCTACTTGATGGAGCTTGAAAATCTATTGAATCACTAGAATGTGAATTGATCTTTTTGATTTCCTTACCATACTTATTTGTTTCAATAACAATTAAATATTCTATGATTGATGTCAAAATCAGAAATTAATACACTTTTATCATCCCCACTGTTGGCATGTGGAATACGTGCTATGTTCTTCTCTGTTCTTTATGTCGACTAAACGTATTAAATGTTTGGTTCTTGGACTTGTAAGTTGTTAGACTTGAAAGCTCTTGACTCTCTACTTTAGTACATAGAAACATGTACAAAATCCAGTCTTATGTTTGTTACTAGGCAAAGTAGTGCATTGAGTTACTATTAAATAACATTGTATAAATGTCTCTGTTCCGTCATGTTTCTTTTCTAAGAAACATCACAACTAATTGGTAAACTAAATGGCTCATGTTGAGGCATCGTACCACTATAACCTTATACATATCTTGCACATTTTGTCTATTTCCATGTTTTTATTCAATCTGTAACCTTTCACGAAAGGAATATTTATTGTTGTTTGTTTTTTAAAGATGGACAATTTTAATTTTGGTTTTAGTTTTGTTGATATACAATGTTTTCTGTAGTGTAGCTTTGTGTTACATTATAAGATCATAGTTCTTGACTTTTGGTTGGTTGTCTGAAAGTCCTTTGATCATTCTTTGGATGATACATACCATCTTGACTTTTGCTTCTGAATTCTTTGAATATATAGTGTGGTAAGTTAATTTAACAAATTAAGGATCCATCGATCTCCATGATTAATAGGATCATTCTAAACATGAGAAATAACATTCTGCATTATACACTAATAAAAATGTTGTTTTTTTTTACCTTGGTATTGAAACATTACATTGTGTGTTTAAAATACTAGCTTATCATCTTTGTTTTGGTACTTATAAATGTATCATAAGCTCTCTCGTTTTGCAAAATGGATGTATCTTGCAGTCTCATGTAAATGATGTTAGTATTTTACTTGAATCACAAATGTATTTATCTTGCATTATGCTCAAAAATTACAGTCTCGAATTCTGCATAATAAACTGATGACTACTGTGTTAGATTCTACCAATTGTACCAGTTGGCTTGCTTTTTTAACAATTCATTGATTAAAAATATCTCTCTTATGGTATTAGTGTCTATGCTTTGGTCTCGTAGTCTTACAGAGTTGAAGCTCTATTGAATTACACATGTATTTACTCACAAAGTGCAATGAGTCTTTTCTTGAATTCTATACCATGCCTTATGTTTTTATCACACTTTTCTATGGTTGGTGATTTGATGTTAATATCAAGAAATTAGCAAACCTTCAGCATACGAAATGAAATTATGGAATTCTGCATCATACATTGATAAAAAGGGTGATTTTATTTATGTTTACTAAAACATTAGATTATGTGTAAAATACCAATTATCTCTGTTTGGTGCTTGTATAGTCTCTTGCAGATATTTATTTTAACGTAGATGAAACTCCTGCAGATGATGGTAGTAG